CTCGTCGAACTATAGCTTCTTGCAGACGACAGCATTCGTGTAATCGAAGAGGACGGATGCTGGTCATACGTTGGTAGACTAGGCGGTAAACAGAACCTGTCACTCGGCTCAGGCTGCGAATCGGTATGGGCTTAACTACCTTCCGTCAGACAATAACACCTAGCCGTGTTTTTATTTAGTTTCAGTATTCTCTTCCAGGTCGGAACAGCTGCCCATGAGATTGGTCATGCCCTTGGTTTCTTCCACACGCACTTCGAAGACATGATCGTGACAAGTTTATCACAGTTGACAAAGAAAATATTAAGGTAAGATTCTGTGAATGTCACGGAAGAGTTGGAACACTGCCACTTTCAGCCTGACTGGCTTGACCAATTCTTACTGGAGACGCCGGACACCAATAACAATTACCATTTAATGTATGACTACGGAAGCCTGATGCACTACGGAACAACAAGGTAGAAATTGAATGCGAAGCTGGTTTTATTGTAAAGCAAAGTATGACAACGAAAAGTGCTACCCGCAACGAAAAACCTACCATGGTACCCACTCTGGATGCGCGGTACGCGGAAACTCTGGGATCCCTTTCATTTTCTTCTAGGATCTTATGCTTTATGCTAAACAAGCACTACAATTGCATTGGTGAGTGACAATTCGGGTTGATTCGCAGCCAGGTGCTCATAAGTGATAGCCGTCCAGATGTATGCAAAGGATGGGGGACAAAGTGTGAGAATGAGGGATTCCCTAAACGTCCTTGCTCGGAATGCATATGTCCGAGCGGGTATGGTGGAAAATTGTGCGGGAAGAAGGTGATTGTTCTTCCCGTTTTTCCTAGCCGAGTTCTTGAAAATCTTGTGGAAATTCCATTTAGCCGGACGATTGTGGTAGAGAAGTGGAGGCGACGGACACATGGAGTAAACTTGTAGACAGTGTAGGCGAAAACACCACTTTCACTGCGCGAGAAGACTTCAAGAAATGCCATTATTGGATCAAGGGTATTGGATTCCTTAGAAACGGTCTATCTTTAGTGAGCTCAAGATTTGCATCATAAGAATTCGAAACCTGGCAAAAAGATAGAAGTCAAACAAACTTGCTTATTTCCCTGGTTCACTTGCCGTCGATGGATGCAAATATGCCGGCGTTGAAATCAAAACAGACCCAGACAAGCGTCGCACCGGTTACAGGTACGCTGTTGCAGTAAGATCAAGAGCCACAAATTTTGGAATCCTTAGAGATCATCAACAATGGTTGTTTCTGTTTCTTTCAGGTTCTGCTCTAAGGACGATATTAACACTACGCTCAATTCGACATTGAACATTGTCCCCGTAATAACCTACAACAGACTCTACTTCACGGAGACAGAGTTGCTTTACCGCGCCGTCTAGTAGATTTCTCCGGGGATTCTTCGAAATAAAGCATTAGCATACATCTTCCAGCAGTGATGCATTTAGAAAAATACAAGTATCGAACACCTGGAACTAGACTTGCGATTCTCTCGTAAAAGATGTGCGGATAAAAATGGTGCTCGGATGTACAAAGTCGGAGTTTGAAAGCGATAGCACAGCTTTTGCCTCGTAAGGCGATTTTTGTTAATCTTCGAATGGTAAGCCATTATTGTTCAAATCAGCTGGTCACACTACAGCCAGCAGGACCTCCACATTCGAAGAGGTCTCTCGAAGGATACTGATTTTGTAATTGAGATAAATGGCAAATGTGCCAACGTGATGCTCGTTCTCAATGCAGGGCCCCGATTCCTGATGAAACGCTTGCTAAATGATACGTTTGAGGTATCATCCACTACACGAACAAAGTATTCCT